CCGCGAGCGGGCACGTCGAGGGCGAGGTCAGCGAAAAATCGCTGGCGCCGCGCCCCCTCTGCGCCGCGCCGCTCCCCCAAAGGAACTCGGCCCGAGAGAGCAATCCGCGCGTCGCTGCGAAAGTGAATGTGCATGCCAGTTCCTCGTCTTCGGCAAACGCAATCCTACGAGTACTCCATTCGTGTCATTCTAAGTTGTCGTATTCTTGGGTTCGCATCGTTGTATGATCATCATTCGTAGCCGCATGATTATCAGTGTTATTGTAGCCGCAGATCCTCCTTGGGGCTAGTAGTATCCTTAATAGTTGTAGCATTCGAATCCTTCTTCTGCCCCTCTTCCTGATGCAGCTGCCCCACCGCTGGGGAGGGGAACAGAAGGTACCCATGCCGCTACACCCTGGACCTCTCAAGGTGCGGTCTGGCCAGGATTTCAAGGAAAACCCAGCATCAGCGACGAGGACCTCCCAGAAGGCCCAACAAGGCTACAACGAAGGAAGGGTAGCGGTATCGATATATCCTCCTCCTCCTCCTCCTTCCCTCCTCCTCCTCCTCCTCCTCCTCCTCCTCCCCTCCTCCTCCTCCTCCCCCTCCTCCCCCTCCTCCCCCTCCCCCTCCCCCTCCTCCCTCCTCCTCCCTCCTCCTCCTCCTCCTCCTTCCTCCTCCTCCTCCTCCTCCTCCTCCTCCCCTCCCCCCTCCTCCTCCCCCTCCTCCCTCCTCCTCTCCTCCCCTCCTCCCCTCCTCCTCCTCCTCCTACTACTACTACTACTACTACTCTACTACTCTACTACTACTACACTACTAATACTACTACTAACTACTACTCATCCTCCTCCTCCTCCTCCCTCCTCCTCCCCTCCGCCTGCCTCCTCCTCTCCTCCTCCTCCTCCTCCTCCCTCCTCCTCCTCATCCTCCTCCTCCTCCTCCTCTCTCCTCATCCTCCTCCTCATCCTCCCCCCCCCTTCCTCCCCCTCCTCCCCCTCCTCCTCCCCCTCCTCCCCCATCCTCCCCCTGCTCCCCCTCCTCCACTCCTACCTCCTCCTCCTCCTCCTCCTCCTCCTCCTCCTCCTCCTCCTCCTCCTCCTCCTCCTCCTCCTCCTCCTCCCCCCCCTCCTCCTCTGACAGCAGCTCCCCGAAGGGCAGGGCCTGAGCAGCTGGCCCGCCAGCACGTTTGCGTCCTCGGACGTCCAGCCGCGGAAGACCCTGTCCCACTGCAGCGGCGGGAGCGTGGGGGAGAAGACTTAGGTCGGGCCTGTCCCCCTGCAGGGGGGGTTCTGGACGACAAATAAGAAAATACTCAAAAATACTCAAAAGAGATGCCCAAAAATACTCAAGAAATAGTCCCCAGACTACTACTTGACTATTTTTGAGTATTCCCCCTGTAGAGGGACAGGCCCGACTTAAGAGAAGACGTGGTCCGGGTAGTTCGGGTTCATGGCCCTCAGCTCCTGGGACCGCGGCGTGCCCAGGACCTTCATGATCTCCTACGGGGAGCCAGGACGGGGATCGACCTAATTAAACAGTGCAGCTCGTCTCCGTTGTTTCGTGTCTGTTCCCTCGTGCTGTCTTCAATCCGCCTTTGCTGGAAAACGAGATCGAAACGAAAACGGCCCACGAAATCGCCAAACCACTCTTTAGGTCGACCCCCGACGTTGCATACACACAGTTTCTCTGAGGTCCGCGCGGGTCGGCGCTGGACCCCACCCCCTCCCTGGCGCGCGGAGCGCGCCAGAGCGGAGGAGCCGGCATGGGGGCCCAGGCGCCGATCCGAGAGATCCGCAAGGACCGCAGAGAAATTATGGTTGTGCAGAGTTTGCTCTTCGATCTCCACGAGCTGGTCGATGCCGTCCTTGCCCGTGAACATCGGCTGGCCTGAGGGGCAACGTTAAGGGAGCCCGGCTCAGGGGGAACCTCGAGCCTGCATCGGCGACAGATCGCCGATGCATCTGCGACAAGCTCCCGATGGCAAGTCCGCACTCTCCTCGACGGGGTGGGCCATCGAGCCCTTCTCGGCGATGCATTGGCGGTTGGAGGGCCGATGCGTGCCCCCTGAGCCTACCCATCGGTCGGAAGAAGTAGGTAGAAACATGAAGTAGGAAGGCGTTGGAACTTGAAGTAGGAAGGCGCTCAAAGTAGATTGGAATCTGGGAATCCAAAAATACCTACTTTCAACGACCGATGGGTACCCCGCCTGTCGTTGCCCTGTAGCTTCCGGGTCATTCCTCGGGCTTCCGGCAGGAGGCTCGGGACGATCCGGGCACCCCCGGGAACGCCCTCGGCGAGGCGCAGCCGCTGGGAGGCACCCCGAGGCTGGAAGGCCACCGAGCACCTGCGAGAACGCCCGAAGACCTCCAACCTCCAGCCGATCCCCCCTCTCGAGCCTTCCTCGAGCCTCTCCCCCCCCCGACGTTGCCCCGGCGGACCCAGGACCATCTCGCCGAAGACGCAGCCCGCCGACCAGAGGTCAATGGCTGTGGTGGCGGCCAGCCCCCGCCTGGACGGGGGCGAGGGGGCGTGCGAGGTACTGGACTGTCTCCTTTCGGGAACGTCCGAGGGGGGCGTCTAGGAGGGGGGCGTTCGCCACTCATCAAGGCCGTGCTCGGCGACAGCCAATGCCGAAAACCGACCGAGCCGACAGCGAAACTGAAACCGACCGAAGCCGACGGGCCGAAGGCTGCCTAGAGAGGCGCGGCGACGAGGCAACGACACGATCACTGAGCGAACCGAGCCGACCGAACGCAGCCGACTGCGACGCCTGGCCTAAACAATGTTTCGCGTTCGCTTTGTTTTCGTTGTCCCTCGGTTCGTCTTCCATCCACCTTTGGTTGCAAAACAAAATCGAAATGAAAACGGCCCACAGATGGCCGAAACACCGTTTGGGCCGACACCTGCCGCGCACACCCGTGCCCATGGACCGAGGCATGGCCCCGGCCAAGATACTTCCATCTGCCCTCTGGGCGTAGGTGGTCTACCGATATCCTACTTTCCTCTTCCACAAGAATCCCCTCTTCCTTTTGGGAAGGGTACCCTGCCCCTCCCCTCCCAGGGGTTTTTTGGGAGTGGGTCGCGGCGCGTCACAGGCGCATCTTTCGCCCAACATGGCTTTAAGAGGGCCTCCGATGCTCCAAGATGGCCCCCAAGATGCTTCAAGATAGCGCAAGATTGATCAAGATGACCTCCATCATGCCCCCAAGAGGCCCCGAAAGGGCCACAAGACGATTCCGAGTGCGCTCGCAGACCCCCTCTGGACCTCCCCGACAAGCCACACATCCTTCAAATGCCTCAGAACAATTGATTGTTATTGTATTATCACCATTTCGCTTCCGATGCGCTTTTGGGGCCGCAAGATGGCCCAATGATGTCCCAAACGGGCGCCAATAGTGGCCCAAGAGGCAGCCAGGACAGCCCCCAGAGCGCCCAAGACCGCCCTATGAGGGGCCAAAAAACACATCAAGAGGCGGCGCTGAGGGCGCCAAGTGGGGGGGGGCCTAGATCCGCCCCCCCACACACCCCCCCCACCCTTTGATCGATAGCCTCGAAAATTGCCCAAAGAGGCGCCCCAGGGCTCCCGAGAGAACCCCAAGAGAACCTCAAGAGGGCCCCAAGAGGGCCCCAAAAAGGCCCCAAGAGGGCCCCAAGACCCCCCAAAAGAGCCCGAAGATGGTTCCAATCGAGGACCCCTCCTCATGTGATCGATGCCCTCCAAAATGTTTCCAGGATGTCCCCAAAATATCCCCAAGATGCCCCGATGCTCCAAGATAGTTTCCGAGATGGTTCGACGCCCTCCCCCCTCCTCTCATTGCCCGCTCTGTCTCACTATGTGCGTGCGTCTTCTTCCCATGTCCTGTCGGCTCTCATAGGCAGGGTTTTGAAATGAGCCTGCGGGGATACTTCTGATCGCGAGCGCGCCGGAGGAGCCGGACGCCGTCAAGTCGCAGCAATGGGCCACGAACGAATTGCGCACCAGGGGGGGGAACAGGCGACGAGGGGACAGCGGAGGAGGAAGCTTGGTGGGGATATTTTTTTGATCGCGACCGCGGCGAGGAAAAGGTCGGGCGGCGACAGAGGGCGGTACAGACTAGTAGCGGTCCAAATTAACACACAGAAAATCGAAGAGCAAAGAACAAGAACGAGCAGGAGAGACGGACAGCAGGCGAACCTCACTGCCGCTCGATGAACGCCGGCACCAAGAGGAATTTTTGGGCGCCGTGCAAGACCAAAAAATAATCCAAAAAGCCCACGATCCGGATGCGGAAGACCGTCACGAAGAACAGCACGCCGTGGACGAAGCCAGGAACCATCGCAAAACGACGACCCTCGACACGAGGAGGGGCAAGGCGCCAGGGCGCGCGGGCGCTCAACGGAGAATCCGGATCGCCAAAATCCAAATGGGGCGGAGGCCGGTGGGAAGCTCAGATCCAGCGACGGATCAGCAGAGGCCAGAGGCCCGATCGCGGGGAGACGCCGGGAGAGGCGGCGGCAGGCAGACGCCTGGGGGCACGAAGCACGACCCAGGGAGGGAGCGACGAGGGGGGGGCCGGGTGTCCGTCTACCCCAAGCGGGAAGAAGAAGCGGCAAACCCAACGCGGGGCGCGAGCCCCTTGGAAACCTGGCAGGGATACTTTTTGTCGAGACCGAAGGCGAAGGCGCCGGCGGCGTCACAGGTCGGCTCGGGCTACGAGCAGAACGAATTGCCTAGCGCGCGCGCAGGCAACTGCGAAACCTACAGCCGAAGGAAGCTGGGCTGCGCCGAAAGTAGAGGCTGCAAGACCTACCGGGGGGCTGGCGGGTATACTTTTTGATCGCGACCGTTGCGACGAATCGCTCGGCGTCAAGTCGAAGCGCAGCAAACGAGCAGCGACTAAATGAGGTACTACTGGTGGGGGTACTTTTTGATCGCGACCGCGAGCGGGCACCCGCGCGGCGTCGTGAGGTCGTGAAAAGAGCGCACGCCGGTGCAAGAGCACAGCGCAACTGTCGCCGGCGAGACGCGGGAAAAAGAACGGGGCCACTACGCAGAGGCTGCGCAAGAGGGACGAAAACGGGGAGGCGACGCAACGCGGCACCGCGAGCGAGGCGAGAGAAAACGAAAAGCCGACGGAACGAAGGAGACGGGAAGACGAGGACGACGAAAGGAGGCAGAAAAAAAAACCCACGCAGCGCCGCTCAGAGGCGGAGGGCCGAGTCGGTGAACGCCAGGGACACGTCATCCTCCAGGTACATGAGCAGCGAAGTGGGGCGACCGTGTGGGAAAAACCGTCATCAGCCGCCAGACACCGAAGGCCATGAACCTGTCAGAAACGAACGTCGAATACCGCGAACATGCGTCAGCGGGGAGAAGACCCTGATGAAGGCCCGCGTCAGCGGAGAACGTGCCCGGGAAGTGCATGGAGGGACTGGTGGGGATACTTGTTGGTCTGCGGGCTCGCGAAGCAAGTCGAAAGCCGTCCGAACACTAGCCGGGCCGCGACGAGGCAGCAAGAAAAGAGAGGGGCTGGTGGGGATACGCGAAGCGTGAATCATATTCACCTCCCCCCCCTGGCCATCGCCAGTGCCCATGGCCCGAGGCATGTGCGCGGACGAGGGGGGGGGGGGGGCCAGGGTGCGCATCGACATTGAAGAGGAGGGGCCACGAGACCGAGGGAGATGCCATGGCCCCGGCCGTGATGAGATTCACCCCCCGCCCTGGCTATCGCCTCCCTCTTGGCCGCCCCTCGCCCTCTACGACGAAGCAGGGACACGGACAAGGTCGGACCAGGATGAATCGGGGACCTCTCAGATCTGGCGGCTCTGGAAGATGCCAGGGCTGGACCTACACTTTGTTATTGTTGTTGTCGTTTCGTTTTTCGTTATGCTCTACCTGTTTTCCTGGACCTCCCTGCCGAAACGAAAAACAAAACACAGCCGAAGTCCAGCAAAAGAGCGTTTAGGCCCAGCCCAGCTGGAACGCACTCAACGCCCATGCTTCGCGTGGGCGGGACGACGCTCTGCCCTGTAATAGCGACGCAGAAGAAGCGGAGCGCCCGACTGCGAAGCAGGATAAGCCAAGCAGAGCGCCCGACTGCGAAGCAGAGGGCCGTCACGGCGTCCCGGGGCGTCACGGCGTCACGGGGCTGCAGAATCATCACGGGGCGTCACGGGGCGTCACGGGGCGTGGCGGGACGTCACTCGTCTGCGTCGACGAACTCCGCATCGAAGCGGCACCATCGTGGCGTGTCGGCGACGCACTTGGACAGGGCAGAATCTGACTCAAAGCAACTTCCGGAACGCTCTGGAACGATCTTTATGTCTTTATGCCAATCCTGGGTCTGCCTGGTCCTCCCCGTCGCCCCCCCTCCCCCAGGCCGGCGCCCCCAAAGTCGAATCGACAAGTCGGATCGGCGATCGAAATGAGTCGGATCGGCGGAAATCGGCAGCCGAGTCGGGAGAAGTCGAATCGGCGGAAATCGGGGCTAGTGTGCCTCCAGTAAGAAATCGGAGCCCAAATCGGAATCCGAAGTCGAATCGAATCGGAATCGGAAACCATCGAAATCGAATCGAATCGAATCGGAGGAATCGAAACGAGCCCTGCCCCAGGGAGCAAAATCCCGTTGAGGGGGGGGGCGCGGGGGAGGGGGCGAGGGGGGGGCGGGAGGGGGGAGCGCCAACGCGCTCGCTTCCAGGGCCGGAGGGCCTCTGAAAAACATCCATGGCCCCTGCGGCCCCCCAGGATGCCTGAGGATAGCTGCAGAGCAGCCCGAGGTACAGTCGGGGCGTTGACCTACTTGGATCGGCGGGGCGTTTGCTATCTAGGATGGGTGGTTGGATCTTGGATAGGGTAGTTATAAGAAGATGCTATCCACTTTCTGTAACCTAGATCGGGGGAGATGGCTATCCTCCAGATCGCCTACTTATATCGTGGTTAGCTAACTCGTTTAGCGATTGCTATCTTGGGGGGCTAACCTAGTTAGCTAAGTTCGCTAACCTAGTTAGCAATTTGTCTTTCTTTGATTTTTTATGTTGGGATTCTGATTTTGACTTTGCATTTCCAGGAATCCAAACGGCTGAACGCGGCGCTGAGGCTTCAGGGGGAGGCCTTGAATGCAGGATTTCTTGGCTAATAGGGAAGCAACTAGGGAGACAGAACGAGGATGCGGGCACGGAAAAGGAAGATGTAGAGACAAAAAAATACGGAAATGAAGGGGAGGATCAGTACAGGATTACGAAATTGTTGAGAATTGCTATTTGTATGTGCTGTTATTGTTTCGTTGTTTCTACATTTGTTTTTTTAGTTCCGTACCCCCCCCCCCCCCCCACAGGGTCGCAGCGTCATCCAACACACCTTTGTTTCAGGCGTTGGGAAAAAAGAACCAAGGATTCTGAGCCGACAGTCGCTTTGGAATAGATGCAAGGCTCGACTATGCTACTTGTCAAAACACAAACAGCGTTGGCCTGAACTATACATCTGGCCTCGGACTCCCCGAAATGCGTG